TGGCCCACGCACCCACACCGGGTGGGCTGCTGGCCACTGGCCCCACCTGGGCCGCCACACGTGAGCCTCCGAGCTGTCCCCAGGTGCCCACAGCCCATAGCCACGTGCCCCAGCCCGGGCAGGCCCAGGCTGTGAGGGAAGCAGATGGCTCCACACCACCCAGCCTCTTCGGGCCAAAGAAGAAGTTCCGGCCCGTGGTGCAGAAGCCAGCCCCAAAGGACACATCCCTGCACAGCGCGCTGATGGAGGCCATCCACACAGCCGGCAGCAAGGACAAGCTCCGGAAGGTGCGTGGGGCATGGCTGCAGCGGGGCTTGGCTGGGGGCTTGTGGCTTGCTCGGCACCAGCTGCCCGTGGGAAACAGGGACAGGTCCTATTGTGATGGGCGTCCCTGCCCGAGGCAGGATGCGGAGGCCACAGCCCTGCTTCAGAGGCGAGGGTCAGCCCTGTGTCGCTGTGACCAAGTGCCCAGCTGGCCAGCTTCAAAGAGGAAAGGGCCTCTTGGCCACCACTTGGAGGACTCAGGCTGTTCTCCCAGGCGAGAGCCAGGAGGTGGCATCAGTGCGAGTGCGTGGCCAAGCACCTCCACCACACATGGCTGGGGAGTGGAGGCACAGATGGCTCCTGCCGCCCTTCCGGTCGCCACCCATGACCTCAGACCAAGCTTTCACTTCCAGCCTTGGGGATGTTTGAGGCCCCAGTGGCAGCTCAATACAGACAGGAAGTGGAAGCCCGGCTCCTCCCCACAGTCTTGGGGACCACATGGACACTGCCACAGGGCTGTACCCCCCCAGTTCACACGGAGGTGGTATGGCCTGGGCAGGGTTGAGAGAGGTGTGGACAGATGCCATTGCCCAGAGCCCTGCTCCAGCCTGTGATGCAGGGTGACAACAGCGTCCCCGGTGACAGGGCTCCCAGCTCCGTCCCCGCTTGGTCCCAAGGCTGGTGGCTCTGCAGTGGGCTCTCCCACTGAGCAGTGACACTCTGGCCCACGTGCTGGTGTCAAGACACAGCAGCACTGTCCCTGCTGAGCCAGCACCATCGGGTGCAGAAATTGAGGCACAACAAGGCCACATGGCCTGGCCCAAAGCCACCAGGCAGTGACGGGGACCAGGCCAGGAATCTGGGCCGGTAGATGACCTGTGGTTATCACTCACCTGCTCTCGCTCACTGTCCTGGGAAGGGGAAGAGCACGAGCAGGCAAGAGCGAGGTTTCCAGGGTGCCGTGCATGCCTGTCATCCCAGCACCCTGGGAGTCCAGGCAGGAGGATCTCAAACTTGAGCCCAGTCTGGGCAGCCTTCTGACTAAGTGTAACTCTGTCTCAAATTAAAAAATTGCAAAAGGGCTAGGGATGGGGCTCAGTGCAAAGGCTCTGGGGGTGATCCCAGCACTACAGGAAAAAGGGGAGGAGGAAGAAGAGGCAGTGAAGTAGAAGAAGAGAAGGAAGGAAATATTCTGTACTCCCGACCAAGCCTACTACCCTGAGGTGGCTCCTTCTGGGTGCAACCATCTCTTAGGAAAGGGGCCAGCAGTGCCTGTGACTTCCTGGAAGAGCCGGGTTCAGAGCTTGTGTGGGGCCCTGGGCTGCCCTGGTCTTGGCCTAACCAAGTCAACCCCATTGCCTTTGCAGACAGCAGAGCCCCCCGAAGAGCGCAGGTCCCTGACACCATCCTACACCGAGGCAGACAGTGCGCGCTCCGCCCTGCTTGCGGCTATCCGGGGACACAGCGGTGCCCGTAGTCTGAGGAAGGTAGGGGCTCAGGGCTGGCACCGCTACCTCTCCCTGCAGCCAGCAGACACTGCCGATGCCTCTGTGTCCCAGGAGGCTGCAAGGGCAGCAGAGCAGGCACAGCCCCAGCCCTGGGACAGGAGGCTCCACACAGCTTTGGGGGATGGAGGCAGGCTCAGGAAGGACCTGGGCTCAGGGGGGACAGTGTTCCCCGGGCTTTCGGGTGCCTGAGGGACAGAGGGGCAAGTGCCCTGCTTGTCCCTCCCTCACAGAGCACTGGGCATCTCCTGTCTGCAGAGCTCAGCCAGATGGTTCTGTTCTCACATACCGAGGATAGGAGGATATGGGGTTCGGCCTGGCCCTGAGCCTGGGATGTGGTGGCTCCAGACAGGTGTTTAAACCACAGGGCAGCTGACACCCTGGGCCACGCACAGGGTTTGGGGCCAGGGCAAGGTGGTCACTGGGAGCTGTGCTTTTGTGGGGACCTCCAGATTTGGCCCTCCAGTCTGTCTGCCCAGTGGCTGGTGGCACCATGGAGTGTGGCTGGTGGAGGGCTGGATCTCTCCTCGCCACGCAGGGCCAGAAGCTCAGGTCGGGCCAGCAGGGCTGAGGTCCAGCGAGCCCCTCCCTGGAACCAGGTGGCACCGTCCTGTCCTCTCGAGCATGCCTCGGAAGCCCCCAGGTCTCTCACAGGCACAACCCCATATGCAGGCCCCACCCTCACCTGGTCCCCTCCCATGGCCCAGTGTGGAGACAGGGTTCTCAGGTGGCACTGGGCTCCCTACGTAGTGGTCACTGTGTGTCTCATTGCCAGGTGCTCTCCTCGGCCTCTGAAGAGCTCCGGGGTTGCCCGGATATAGTTCCGCCCCAGGCCCCAAGGCCCCCGCTGGCGCCCCAGGCCCCATCTGCACCCATGACAGCCCCTGGGCTCAGCTCCCGGCCCCTTGGCAATGCAGTGGACGCACAGCAGGCCCTACTGGATGCCATCCGCTCCGGCTCAGGTGCTGCCAGGTTGAGGAAGGTGAGCTGGGCTAGGGGCTGTGGGAGGATGGGCGGGGGCGGGGACCCAGCTTGGCACAGCTGGTGCTGCCCAGGAACCCAGGGCTCTGCACAGCCACTGCCACCGCC